CCACTCCAGCCGACAGCTGCTAGGAATCGTCCTGTGCCATGCGCCATGCGACACAGCAATTGTAAGCTGCAGGTCACATTCGGACTGATTGGCTCCGCGTATGTGCATCCGGCCGGGAGCTAGTCGATATCAGGGACGTGGGTCGGACTGTTGTGGCGGCGTGCACTGTGCTGGTTGAAGTTGTGTTTCTGTTAGTGAAAAGCATTAATACATAACCGTGGCCGCAGCCCAATGTTATTGTGGATTTCCGAGGGAGTGGCCAGTCAGGAGGGTCCCATGTGGGTATGGAATATGGATCCAGTGTCCAGTGGGATTGGCTAAGATTTCCGGCGATTGATAAACGCTTCTATTATAGTAAACCTATTGAGTTATGAGGGGAGGTCACGTGACGGACCTGACCTTACTAAACTCTTGTGAAAACACGACACATACGAACGGTAAGAAACCGACAACTCTTCTTTCTGCCAAGTGTCATCTTTCTGTGAAGGATTTCTTGGCACTGAGTGTTCAGAAATTGCGTTGTTTTTGGACTGTGCAGAGGCTCACGAGCGACAACATAGGTCAACAACCTGACCTACCTTAAATATGCGACTTGTACCATAAGATCCAGCTTGATCAAAAGATAGGACATGTCAAATTTCATCTCTTTATCTCAAAAGAATTTTGAACTATCGTAAAAACCGCCAGTGTGGCACCATATCGCCTCCCCGCGCGGTCGGAAGGTAAAAGTTCGCCGGCTCTAACTAAACAAATAGTCGTCGTATCGCAAATTCATTGACGGCGTTCGAAGCGTCGTTCAATTTACTTTCGAAACATATCCTAACATTACCATTTAACTGCCTAGCGCAATCACCAACAAGCAAAAGTTCCGCGCATCCCTCCTCATACAGTGTTAACGGCGGCCGGCCGCCGGCCGCTGACCCACATTCGCGTCATCAGGGAATGCCGCAACTAATTTATTGTTTCCAACTTTTTTTCCCGGAGCGTTCTACCTGGTTTATATAGCCTTGCCATGGCCTGAAAATACCGGTTTGGGCACTCACAACATCGAAAAATGCTTTAATTCGGAGATATCGAATTTCAAACTTGCAGTTTTCGGATTCTAAGGGGCTAATGCATTGGTATGCCCCCTTAGAATTTGTGACGTCAGCGGAGATCTAACGATTTTAAATATTTTACTAAAACGTTTGGTAGCACGCGGTGGTATATGCTGCTTTGCGCGCAACAAATGCCGCACTTTCAAATAAAGTCGCTAGGAACAGCGGAGATCCCAAAAAGTAAACAAAAGTAAAAGTCTAATATCTTGAAAACCGGTGAATATTTTTCGATGAAATTTGGTAGATATTCGTTTTTGCTCTTTCTGAACCGAGCGACATCACTTTCATGCCAATTCATTAACTTTTTTGAAGGTGGGAGGGTCCCTTTAAATGAGGGCACAGGGCGTGTAAACAGGTCACTTGAGGTCACATATTGTCGTAGCGTTACACATGAAGTCCCATAAGACGAAACCGGGAATTTCGTACTTTTATTCCCAGGAAGCTCTCTTTCCATTCTTCATTGGTTTTCTGTGGGTCTGGAACTCTGGGGAACGACCGGTAGTAGGTACGGGTTGGTGCCTTGGTGGTCATTTTGCGAATTCGACGTTCGGAGCGCGTTCCGCAGCAATGCTTACAAAAATCCGGGACGGTTATGGAAAGTGAAGATATTTCAGTCAAATGATAAAATTTGCGGAGACTGCCGTCTATCCTGTTATCAACGCTAAAAAGAACGATGAAAGATGAAGGAAGTTGACGGGATTGCTGCTACCTTGATCATAATTTAATCGCTTTATCTTGAATTCGCATGCTAATTGATAGCTCCATTTTCGTTATCGACATCAACAAGTTTTCCCGATTTCATTCCCATACCATACCAATGGAAATGCCAGCCCAACTCCACCGCCCACGCAACAGAGCCGGCGGCCCCGGGTTTACGAGGGGAGCAGGGGGAGTGGGTCAGAGGCCAGCGCCGGCCGAGCGCGGCGGTCTCAGATGACGCAGGGTGTCGAATGGCCTCCGACAGAGATGCGCGGAGAACAAAGGGAGGCGGATGGGTGGCTTGTTAGTCGCTCGCACTGCGCGGTCACGAGTGGTTGACACAGTGGTGTTGTTGACGTGTGGTAGATGTGGGTGGAAGGGCATCAGTGATACGCAGGGAAGATACGTGGCTCGCCTACAGTAACTCGTGGCTGGTGTGTTACTGTTAACAAGTAATCAGTGTGAGGAGAGGAACGCCCCCGACATCACATGGGTATGTGAGGACGAAAGTCATGCTAGCCTGATTGAAGCGGTGCAACAAAACCTTCGACGCAAGTTGTTGAAAATGTCAGTTGCTGGCTTTTTGAGCTAGCCATGATAAAAATGCCTGCAAAGTCATGGTTCGGACAAGGATCAGTACAGACAGCCGTCCATGTTGCTCGGACAGACACTTCTGAAGAATGAAGGAAGGCAATTCGTTGAAAAGGTATGTCAGCTTTGTTATGCATGCTCTGGTCCTGTGTTATACTGAGTTAGTTTTAGTCAGGAATACAAACGCACGTGGCAGCACCCGTTCCGTCCCATTTATTTATTTAGTTCATCTTTACATATATGCACCGCACCCGAGGGCCAACGGTCAACGGAACGTTGTATTGCCACCCCAGAATTTCTCAGCTTTCTTTGGAACGCTGCAATGCGCGTCAGACCTCCAATGACGTAGATATTCCAACAAGGAAAAGCTGGACTTTGACGTGTGGAGCGTGAGCCCGTCCCACTCCCTTCGGAGTCCGTTGTGGACCCGTCTTTTTGAAGTCGGTGTGAATCCCTCAGAGGCCGGTATGGGGTCCTCAGCCTAAGCGTGCGTCCTAGAGAGTCTGACTTCAGCCGCGAGTCCAAGATTAGAGGTAATCGGTCCATCTTGGAAACTTGGGTCTTCGGGACTAACTCGAGAGACTCTGTCTGGTGATAGGTGGCCGTGATGTGATTGTCAACCGTCGAGCGTTGCTATATGTGTGATGTCTCCAAGGTTTACATGACAGGAGCCGTTATACTCCAAGAATCAAAGATCTGCAAACTCCTCACATTGGTTAGTCTTGAGGTCAAGAAGACTAAAGAACGTTTTTCACGGTTCCATGCTTCTATCCTCAGGATACAGAAGTCCTTCTCCTCCACGCCGCAACCCCCCTCCGGGCTGGACAGGCAACTTTATCTCATGCGGGCTGCTCCCTTGGAGCGGCACCGCTGCTCCCGAGGGAGCGCACCCCGTAGCCGGGTGCAGTGAGTGCCTTGGGGCTGGGTGGCCTGTCCTCTGGACGGGCTCAGCCCCGGCGACTCACTAGGATGCCTTCCCAGACCAATGTCTCCCCCTTTATCCTATTATCCTCCCGGCTCTGAAATGGTCTTGCCAGACCGAAAGGGCCTAACCCAACAAAACAAACAAACAAATAAAGAACGTTTCAAGCAGTTGCGATCCTGGGCAACTGAGAAAGATAACCAAAACCAACCGATCCTGCCAGGATTCGAACCTGGAATCTTCTGATCCGTAGTCAGACGCGTTATCCATTGCGCCACAGGACCCCTTGAAACCGCGCGCGCGCTTCAAACGACCAAAAATTGGTCCCAATGCATTCCCATCGTCTTCCTTACAGAAAACCATAAAAGACCACTTCTCGGCGATCCGCATATGCACCAGTTCCCTGTCGTATTCCAGATCATCCGACTGACATCGAAATCCTAGCATGAGATGGTCGAAGGTGGTCGGCGGAGTCGTCTGCTATGCAGATGTCCGCCCTTCGCGGACAGGCGACTGCAGCTACGGCGTTTAGTGGCGGATACGGTCTAAGTGCACTGAATAGTCTATGCAAAGGTCCAAAGAGTTCTCGTGGTCCAAATGATTCTTGTTAAAAATGTGCCCCTAACTTTCTTTGCTGCAACCATTGTGCTGGGCAAGAGAATGAGATGATATTCTGCAAATACGATCGAAGCGCATGGAGGGTTGCGATGACAAGCCCCCTCAATCCTCATCTATTTATGATGACACAATGTCATTTGGGCATTTGAGAAAGGTAGCATGCGTTGGTTGGGGGAGTGCAATCGAGGTGTTTATAGACGGAAAGTCGAGCGCCGAATTTGGAGGAGAGCTAAAATTGGCTAGGAACACGTTACACTTGACTGGTCTTCCTGTACCCTTTTGTTGGCAAGGGCACATTTTGAGCCCAAAGGGGGCTCGAATACCCCAAAATGTGGTCCTGTGGCGCAATGGATAACGCGTCTGACTACGGATCAGAAGATTCCAGGTTCGAATCCTGGCAGGATCGGTCGGCGTTTTCTGATTCTCATGCGGAGAAAGTGCTGACCGCGTCAAAGCCGCCCCACGCTGGACCTCGCATGCGGGTTGCGGGGCTGCGGGTTTTGGATTCACGGGTATAATACTCATTCATGGAGTAATTAAACCATTCTCTTATAGTCACTAAATAAGTGCAAAGAAGCCAGTACACCCTCAGAAAATTGCATATTATCGCAATAATAGCACAACGAACCAAAATTCGACTTCAACAAAACACCAAAACGCGCAGCCCTCACAGCAGACTGCGAGGAAAATCGAAAGTTGACTCAAAATTAGCTTTTGGAATGCGATGCTAATTGGCTCGTATGCTAAAAACGTACAGACTCGCTTGTTACATGGTTGTGTGGGTCACTCAGCATAGTGTATTCTTTTATTTGGAAGAAACCCGAAAACCCAAAAACTCTAAAAACAACACAGGCTGCAAGGAAGAAAGAAAATCCAAGACGGGACCGAGTCTCGGTGTGTATTGTGCAAGCTGAGCTCGCCCCAGTCCAGGCACGCTGACTAAGCTGGTCATTGTTTGTTACTCAATATTCTGGTGGTGGCTTGATTGTACTTTGCCGGGAGTTCTTTCCCTTGGAGGCCTGAGTGCACGGAACCCGCATTGCATGTTCTTGATGACAGTCTCTGTGTGTTACCTGATTTGGTCGGGGGTGAAGGAGCTGAGCGCAATCGAGGAGGCCTTCTGCAGGATGGGCCTCGCCGTCTGCTGGTTCTCCTTCATCGCCTTCATATTGGCCACCGTGATGTCACTCGACACGCGAGAGAACATCAGAATCTGAGAACAGAGAGAACATCAGAAGCTGCAGAAAACACAAGGGAGAAACATCAGCACCATTCCTGTCACAGTTACTGAGAGAGGTGTCAGAAATGCGGCAGATAGCAAGGGACATCGGGATCTCAGGTAACGGAGAGAACACCAAGACTTGACTTCATGACAATTTCTCAGTCTTCAGCCCTTCTCTAAATTTATATATACTACACCAGTGTTATCTAGAAGACGATGAGCACCACACCAAACACTTCCGCACATCCAAACAGCAATAATCTCCCCATGCCTGAACACTGAACAGTTGAACAAGCTTCACCAGTCCACCTCACCACCACCTTTCTCACCTTGCTGCCGACGCCGAGTGTGAGCATGTGAGAGCCGTCCTCCGAGGAGACCCAGTCGATGCGCACCAGGTGCTTGTGCGCCACGCTCATCAGGATGTTGCCCTCCTCGGCGATCGCTGACTTGACCGTGTTGTCGTTGATGAAGCTGGGCGCCGTGCGCATGCCCAGCGCTGCAGAGGCAAAAGTCAGAGGACATAGGTCAGAGGTTGGGATAGGTGTCAAAGGTGTTGGAAAGAAGGCGACACAGGGCGTGAACAAGAACACACCTGAATTGAAACATGCACCTAGATGGTAAGCGCGTGTTCCGCTGAAGTTAAATACCGTTGTTTCATTCACTGGACTCTTTGGCGGCTTATTTGCGGTATTGGACCGACCTAAGAGCAACCACAACTTCGCGTTCCTTCGCGTTGTCGCCTCTCACCCTCTCGGCCTTACTCAATCTTATTTTGTTCCCCTTCGCATCACTCGTGTCCCTCTGTCCCCTAACTTTGTTTCCTCTACCTCGTCTCTGTCTATCATCTCTCCACCCCCATCTGCCCCCTCCCATCTGCCCTCGCCTCCTCCTCACCTTTGTCCTCGTCTCCCTCTCCGCCGGGCTGCGTCCCTACTCCCGACAGCACGTAACGGTGCCCTCCGGCCTCCAGTAGAGAGGTATCCGCGTCCCCGGGAGTGTACAGCCTCGGCAGCGGCACGTTGTGCAGCATGATCGTGTCCTCCTTCACCCACTCAGAGCCTGGCGAGCAAGACAGACAAGATGTGAGGGAGGTGAAGGTGGTGAGCTGGAGTGCGACAAGACAAAGGCAGTGCATTTTCAAGTCCATTGACATTTTTTTTTAGGGAAAATTATGACAACTAGCCTAGCCGACTCCACGGTCCACGTCTACCCACATCAATGAAGATTCAGCTGGGACGGTACGTTATCACAACCGGCACTTAAAATGAGCGACGTTCATAAACCGGATAAATGGATCAATATTCTGTAGAAGTCCACACTGACGTCTAAAACTCCTTATTATCGGTTTCACACTACTGGACGCCCACAGCGCATTTGCGCCACTGCCCAGACTCACCTCCGCTGGACTCGCACTCGTAGATGACCACACCAAGGTTGATGAAGCGCGCGCCTCGCTCCTGCTCCTTCCTGGTAAAGGAGCGTCCGATCTTGTAGGCGCACGAGACCCGGGCGCTATACGCCACACTGACCGTCAGGGGCACTCCTGTAGTACGACGGGACGGGAGAGTCAGACTCAGGCAAGATAGAGAAGGGAAAAAAAGGAAGAAAAAAGAAAATGAACGAGCGAAGCAGCCAGAAGAAAAATGGCCACGAAAGAAAAAAAGACGAACTGAGAGGGAAAGACGCATGGTGAAGTACGAGGTCTTAATAGCAACCTACAACACAATTTATCATCACCACATTTTCCTTTCGCCTTTTGTGTTCAATGAATAAGACGCAGCCAACTTCCATGTCCCAGCATTATTCAGATTGAATGGTGGGCGTAGTCATTAATGTCGCCTCGGGCGCCAGAGAGCGACAGGGCACGTCACATCCCCGCTGTTTGTCGGACCACCCGTCCTCTGTTCTCTCACCGGGCAGTTTGAGCGCCGAGCTGCGACTGGTCGAGTTGGTCATCTCCCACTCACACCACTGGTACGTCTTGGACGCGGCGCCGTCGGCCGAGCCACCGCTCTCCGAGACGCGGCACTTCCAGAACCTGTCGACGTGAACACACGAGAGCGTGCAGCGCTAGAGCTTGTACCGCATTCATATTATGTGTTGACACCCAGCACCGAAGGGCGTATGACTCAGCAGCTTGGTTCATGCTTAACACGGGTCTGTGGTAACTTCATGGCAGATCAACGTTCCATCACAACAGCACCTTTATCGTGCATTTCTCGCTTCGGTTCCCCAGCGATCGACCTGGGGACCTGGAAGTCCCGCATTCATTTCACACTCGTCCCACGCCTTGGCGGCTTACACTACACTATTCCCCGAGTTCTCTCTCTGCAGCGAGTTACCCACCTGACGGTGTTGTCAGAGCACGCGGTCACCACGTGGTAGGTGGCGAAGCAGGCCGGGTAGATGGAGGCCGAGCTGAGGTGGCCGGCCGCCGGCGTGGCGCATGTCACCTCCACACCCTCCGGCAGGGGCAGGCGCTGGGTGCACACCTGAAAGGGAAGGAAGCGGGGTTAGGAATGTTTGATAGACCGTCTAAAAATCCGAATAATCACCATAAGGGAGACTATCTACAGTCACATGCATTAGACGAAACGCGTCCAGCCAATGTGCTGTGTAACCCGTCTTATGCGTGATTATTGATTGAAGTTGGAACTCGCCAAGCCCACAATCACAAGGTGGTCACAAATCACTCTAATTTGAGAATTGGGCACGAGCGGTTACTGGTTGCCTACCTTGACTGTTGAAATGGAGACGGGCTTGAGCACGGGGCTGGGGTGATCACCGGGTGAGTCGGTCTGGCCGTTCTCCCCTGGGCAGAGACCGTGAGAGGAAGCGTCAGACGAATCGATAACGGGAGCCTATGCTAGGCATGTGGTAAAAGACTAAACGTAAGACTAGAGATTCTCGGTGAAGGCCACTCTTAAGTGCAAAGCGGAAACATCCCAGGATCCCAGAATATACTACGGCATCCCATAATTCAGCTTGGCGGCTAAACACATTAAAAACCTTTCGCATCGCACGATTATCATTCCCGACTGCAGGAAGAATTGTCCTGCTCCACGGTACTAACCCTGCAGCGGCTGGGAGGACAGCACCACTCGCCACATGTGTATCATGGTCCCCAGCGTGTCGCGCTCGATAACCACAATGTAGAACGGCTCGGAGAAGCTCTCCGTCTGGTGGAGGTCGACGATAGCGGAGAAGCTCGGGTCTGCCGGGTACCATCCCGAGGAGCGGCTGGTCGGCGCGCCGCTGGCCCGGCCCACGATCAGCTGCTCCTGGTACACGTGCAGGAACTGAGTGTGCTCCCAGTCCTGGCGGGTGGAGGACGGGGGTCACGTCAGATGTCACAAAGACTTGAGACAGGCCATAGAGGACGGGCGAAAAGAAGATGTGGAGTCACTGTTGAGAGGCTCATCGAGTAAAGATTGCCGACTTTTACGATGTAAAATGACAGGTAAACAGTGATTCGTCGCACTCAATTATTACCCTCAAGAATCGACAGATTACATTCAAACGTGACATAAGGGCGTACGATTTACCGTAACCCTATAAAAAATATTCAACTCCACGAGTGCAGGACGACCACTACACGAATCGTCTCCATCACTTCCATCATCAGCGCTTATATCACCACGGCGGAGAAATCTCTCACATGTGTGACGTCGGGTATGGTGTTGAGGTGGATGACGCAGCCGGGCCGGGAGGCCGACTGTTGAGAGACCAGACGGAACGCGTCCGACAGACCCGTCTGCTTCAGCTGCGCAGGGATCGACGAGTTGTCCGACGAGTCGCTCATACCCGAACCCTGGCGGAGAGAACAAAGCGAGGGTTAGAAATGAGTGGGGTGAGTGTTGGAAATGGCTGGGGATAGGGACATGCCTGTTGTAAGAACAGTGAGATAGATGTATGGGGTGGTCAAACAACCGGCAAATTATATACAATCATGCGAGCAGCAGAGACAAATCGAGAAGCACCATTTATAAAACAACATTTCATAACAAATGTACTTATCAGATTCACAGTTATATCTGTTTTGGAGTTATCGAACACTCTGCAGGCGGTCAGTTCTCGAGCTCACCATACGCTTCATCTTCCGCTTGGCGTTGTTGATCTCTGCCAGCAGGCTCCTGGCGTCGATGACCGCCTGGTACAGGTTCAGGTTTCGTCCGTCCGAGGCCACGAAACATGTCGACGGCGAGTTGCAGATCGGACCCAGAGTGGTGCTGAAGGACAGACCAGAGTTGGCATGGTTACGAGCGAAAGGAATGGCTACCCGCTGCGGGATAACAAAAGCGGTGCAAGAGAAGTGGAAACTATAGCAAATTGGACACCTAACAACAGTGAAGTGGTAAAATTATTATAAATGACGGAAATGGCATCTTTGTGGCAACAAAGCTAGGTAGGCATTTTTACCATTATGTTTTGTCAAAACGTCACTTGTGAGATAAAAGGTTCGCCAAAGAAGGCCAAACATTCGCCCAAATCTTGCAAAATTCCAGCAATGACAATAACAACCTCAAGATCCCTCCCTTACGTCCACAAAATCAAAACTCCGCATTTTCCGCCTTTCATCTACCCTCATCCTTCTCTGGTGCGCCCGTCGTCGACGCTCACCTGGGCAGCAGGGTGGGCACCCAGGCCACGTGAGAGAAGGCCGACATCTCCGGTACGTTGACACGGGTCAGTTCTGTCACCCCACCAGAGGTGCGGGACAGCGGTCCGATCGGGTCCACGCGCCACAGGATCAGCTCGCTGGTGTACGTCTGGGGGAGGGGCAGGCAGGCGGAGGGGTGAGTGAACTGGTGGCAATGAAATTATAGCAGTCGGGAAATTTACATGATGTCCATCCTGTAATACGAGTCAACGGTGCCTATGGTGAGGGGTGATCAACCTCGAAGAAGGATAATTAAACAAGAATACGCCAAGAAAAAAATGTGAACTGCCGAAATGCCAATGTAACTTATCCAGTGCCCAATTCAATACTCTTCATCTCAGCCCACAGCCTACCAGAGCTACTCCACCTCATCGAACCATTCATTGTCTACTCTCAGTACCAACCCTCGTCTCTTACCTGACTGGCCGGCCTCTCTGTCGCCTGACCGGCTCGCGGCTGCGGGTTGTGATGTGAAGTACTCAGCATCAGCGGCAGCACCGGGTGACAGGTGATATCATTCACCCGGAACCTGTGTCCGCACACACGCCGCTCGTGCGCCACATTCAGCACCGTCTTGAACTTGGACTCTTCACTGAACGTGATGCACCACAGGTTGAGAGATCCGTTGTCGTGCTTGCTCACCATTGCCATGCTCGGGAAGGCAGCCGGAGGCAGAGGCACCGGGCAGGCAGGAGCCTCACCGGCCTCGGGTTGGATTATGGTCGGGGCGAAGAGACACAGTTTGGTGGACATGGTCATGGCGTCTCCCAGTGGGAACGCCTGCGGAATTCGGGAGGAGAAGGAGACCTGCGCCTGCCGGAACGACGGGTGGTGCTCGTCCAGGTAGTCGATCGTCCTGCGAAAGAAATGGCGGCGAAGCGTCAGGCCCAATCGCATTGGGAAGGTTCACTGTCGGCAAGGGGTGAATCTCAAGCGTCGAAAACCTTAGAAGTTAGAACAACCAGGTTTCGCGAGCAGCAAATAAGACGGAAGAAAATGAAGAACTTCCGCAGTCCAGTTGGGCTTTTGGTGAGTGACATTCGTCAGTGACACCTCAGGAGATTCACCGATCCATATCGCATTTATTCGATAACTTTTTAGACTATCAGACACGATCCACCTTCACTCTAAATCCAAAGCTCCTCCCCCCCCCCCCCCCACCCTGTCCCAGAAATCCTGCCGCTACGCCACTACCCGTCCCTCTCCCGATTCTCCCCGTCGTACTCACCAGACGAGGAAGCTGCCATCCACTGGGTGTATGGAGAAGAGCAGATCGGAGCCCTGTTCCCAGTCGCGCAGCAGGGCCGCCAGCCGACCCTCGAGCTCGTCAGAGCCCACGCAGCCGGCCGCCACCGCCTCCAGGGTGTTGGATGACGACACCGCAGACAGGTTGGGCGATGACTGGGTGACGCCGTCATCGGAGCCGTCACCCGACGGAGAGTGGTCTGGTGGAGGGGAGAGAGGCATTATAAAGCATTGATATTGGATCGAAGCTTGGCATAAAAGGAAGCTAGCGGAAGCGACAACGAAATCGTTATGCGACAGTGACATGGCTAGCTAGCTGATCTACTTGCACTCTATCTTTTTCATAAAAAACATCACCAACATAAAAAACATCGTCGCGTTTTCAAACAAAGTATTAAATACACTTACTGCTCAAGACAAGCCCACACACCGCGAGCACATCTGAAATAAATACTACTGTCGGCTGCCTCGTGCTGCTGCTGCTTCTGCTGCTCTATCCTCACCCACCCGGCCTGCTCTACCCCCACTCCTACTCGACCTTACATACCTCTGTCGGCCGCCTCGTGCTGCTGCTGGTGCTGCTGCTCTATCCTCTCCCACTCTGCTGTCCCCCATGACTTCCGCTCGGTCTAACTTACCTCTGCCGGCTGTCTCGTGCTGCTGATCTACCCTCGTCCCTCACCTTACCTCTGTCCTCTGCCCTATCTCGTGTCTCATCCAATCTAACATACCTCTGTCGGCCGCCTCGTGCTGCTGCTGCTCCAGCCGGTCCATCTCGGCCGCCAGTCGCTCCATCGCGTCTGTGTATGTCATCTCCTTGTTGTTGAGCCAGTGGACCATGAAGTTGAGTGACGAGCCCGTCTCCGAGGTCCCCATGCTGGGCACCAGCGGAATGTCTGGAAAGGAGAGAGCGAGTGAAGTCAGGCGACGGGAGAATGTAATTATAATAGGTGCGCTACTGAAAAAATGACCATTCCGGGGCCAAAGATATCGTTATCAAAATTACATGCAAGATTGTATTTGAGAAACGTCCGAGAAACAGCAACAATTTAGGCAACATTCATTCCTTATCTGAAGTGACGCCCAATGCTGATTTCGAGAATATCAGCATGAGTGAAATTCGGCAGCCGGCACAACGTCATTCTGTGCCGTCCACAGATGCAGGACCCGCTACTCTCCATAGCTTTCCCTCTCCCCTCGACCCTCACCCTCACTCTCACCCTCAGCCCCACCCCAGTCCCCCTCCAGCCGTCCGCCGCGTCCAGCTCTGTTTGTCCGTGAGTCAGCTCCGGTTCGAGTTTATGGGTGTCATCCACACGGCCGGAGAGCGTAAACAAGCACGTACGTGACTTATCAGCGAGCACTTCTCGTCAGAGGGGCGATGGAACTTGAACGCCTTCTCCTGGTGTTGTTCCATTTTGTGAGCCTCGTTACTCTAATGATAATGGTAGTTTGTGGGTTGAAGCAAAACAGCTATAAAGTTATATGACACTCGTCGTCCACCAATAACATTGTATATAAGCTGGATCCCAACTGGCCGAGCTCACTTCCCCTTTGGACATCGACGGGAAAAGTTCGCTCCCCTCGGCACTTGGTCGTTGCTCGTTCGTCTCTACCGGTGTGCCCACTGCTTTCTGTACGCACAGTGACGTGAACTCAACTGAGGACATTAAGTGGTCGCGTGTGCCAGTGCGTGAGCCAGGAAGATGTTGCGCAACCATTTACGCTCTCAGAACGGGGAGCGCACAGCCGGTTGGTCGCCTCCAGCTTACATTGTATATTGATCAATTCCATCCTTCCATTTTTGTCTTCCGATTACCGACATGTATGCAAAGTGACACCATGCCTCATCTACCGCAATAATATCCGACCGCACTTGACTTGCTGAAAACCAACACCATTCTCTGTCAATTGCACTACAACGCGCTGCAAATCGCCGAAAGCCGATAGCATTCTCATTCAACTGCAATGCGATACCATGCCTTCGTTTGCTGAAACCCGACACCATTCTCCGTCCTCTGCAAAATGATACCGATCCCGATCTGCTGAGACATTTCAACGGTCTCAGTCACTTGGAATATAACACCCACATTCTCCATCGGCTGATAGCTGACGCTAGGCTCTGCTTGCCGAGAATCAACCGTACCGTACCCTTCTACGACCTGTAAAAACGACAACATTCCTCCGCGACCGTGATACATGATATGATTATCGACTGCTGTGAGATTTTCCTTTTTTGGCTGCCAAGACTGAATATGAATAGCCATACTAGCGAGCCGTTCATCCCTGCGAAATACGAAATGTCGCGACGACTGACCTTATGGAACTACATAAATATCCCTGCTTATCGACGATAACAATCGCAAAAACACGAAGTGCCGTGACATGTTGTATGATGTCCTAAGCACTTCTTTGCACTTCTGGCTCTTCAGAGCTGGCCCAGTAGGCATCGGGCGCGCAAAACGACCGATCCTGCCAGGATTCGAACCTGGAATCTTCTGATCCGTAGTCAGACGCGTTATCCATTGCGCCACAGGACCACTGATCACCTGGGCCCCATGTCACCATGAAATCCTTGAGTTTAGTGTCATCTGCTCATGACCAATGGTATGCCTATCACCATTGACCCGACCTGTGCCCGCAGGGTGACTGACCTGACTCGGCGCTGATGCTCGCTGCCAGGTGAAAGTGCAGTGTCTGGAGCGCCGTGCGGGGCTGACCGGCGGCCTCTTCTGCAGCCATGGCCTCCAGTAGTCGCCAGTCGGGCTGCTGGCTGGCGCGGGGCCGTCGCAGGTGGAAGCATTGCCTGCCGGACGCACAGGCAACGACAGGGTCATACACAGGGTAAGAGGGGAGTGGATAAGTGTTCAGTGGCACATTCTCCAGAAATCACCTAACGTTCATCGTCACAAAGGCAACAATGCATCGCCGTTCACTTCCTTGATCAAAACGGTGATAGCTTCAAGCTATGTCAAGCAGCATTGTCAAGATACTACATCTTACTAAACAAAACATACGGTTCAAGAAACAAGACTGCCTCGATCGCCATAGCAAGCCACTGGTCGAGCCCAAGGAAAACCACCTCGACCTACCAAGCATACCAAGTTATGGCCCGCGCACCATCACTCACCTCATGTGTTTGAACTTCTGCAGCACCTTGTGCTGTTTGTGCTTCCTGGGCAGGTGCATGTTGTCGTGCGAGGTGGCCGACAGCCACCCAGTGTCCACCATGCCGTCGTCGGGCACGCGGGTAGTCTCCACCCACACTCGGCAGATGTTGTCCCGACACGAGGTCACCAGCATGTTGGCCACGGCGCCCCTGCAGTGGGGACGGACGGTCAGGGAATGTTGGCGGACGTGGTGCAGCAAGGAGCGGGTCAGCGAAGAAGAGTTACTGCTCATCGGTCATAGAGACTTCCACTGGTAGGTAAGACTGGGTAAGACAATCAAGAGGTTTTGGCATACAGTGGTACCAGGTAGGTGAGTCACGTTTTGCGGATGCCGGATTCAGCACCATAACTGAAAAGTGATGACACCGTGTAACCATGCAGTCAATTAGAAGAGTCGTATAAGAAGATAACGGCAATGATCCCTGGCTTGACCCATTCTGCCCTCGACAGGTTAAAAGTGACCGATCCTGCCAGGATCCGAACCTGGAATCTTCTGATCCGTAGTCAGACGCGTTATCCATTGCGCCACAGGACCGACGGAACACCGCCCGAAATGAAAGAGAAACGGGTGGAAGGAAGAAATGAAGATATTGAGGAGAACCTACATTGCAAAAAGTCAAAATCATCTTATAGTATAGTGTCCAGCACCGTTTCGTACCATGGAAGGCGCATCACGACGATCAACTGTTGGCGCCTTGCGCAGACTCGACATATAGAAGAAACGCATCAGTGTCCACGTCTCTCCTCTCTTGGCCCAGCTCCCATATACCTATCCAAGAAGATTCATGCAGGTACTTACCCATAGCACATTCTTCTCTTCACATAAATGAGATCACCTCCAAGTCTGTAGTTAGTCTAGCGCGTGCGAAAGCGATCGCCCATGCAACCAGCCGAGGACATCGCGACCTCAACGAGCGACCGGTTCTTTGAGAGCCGTTTTTACCAATAGTACCTAATCATTCTGTTGCGTACCAGTTACCACAGCATGATGATCTTCGGTTCGTACAAAAAAAAAAAAAACTGTCAAGTTCGTAGGGTTTTACTGAGACTTGTGAGTACCAACCCGCACAACAACCGCTTTTGAACATTTCAACCTGCCGACGCCTGAACCGCACTCCACCAGCATAACTAGGCGGCGGTCATGCGATAAGTGTGTGTGTGGGGGGGGGGGCGTGGGTGGACCATGGCCGCAAAGAGGGGTGACCCCCCTAGAATCAGTGGTCCTGTGGCGCAATGGATAACGCGTCTGACTACGGATCAGAAGATTCCAGGTTCGAATCCTGGCAGGATCGTAGGTTTTGACCTAAGGTCACTGCGCAAGAGATAAAAAACAAAATTCATACAGGAGAAAGCGCTTCCATCGAGAAAGCGAAAAGACATTGCTGAGAACAGGTATCTCTTCCCCATAGCCTCTCACTTCATGGAATGCGCATGCAGCGGCTGGCGTACTGCCCCAGACCCTAACGGACTCTTAGCAGACGTTAGCAAACGACATGGTGCCGCAGCTTGCCTATTGAGGCTATTGCGATACCCCTGAATTCCCCAAGCCTCATATGCATGAAGCAGCTAGTGTCTCCACTGCAGTCCGGTGACCCGGTGGGCACTGAGTACCCCCCCCCCCCCCCACACACATCATATCGCTGACCTTACCTATGCATGAAGCGACTGTTGTGTCACCATAATTTGAGTCCGGTGACCCGGTGAGTACCCCCTGTCCCTCACCTATGCCTAAACCGGCTGGTGTGTCAACCCCCAGTTCCCCACAGCTCACCTATGCATGAACCGGCTGGTGTGTCTCCACTGGAGACCCGTTACCCGCTGAGTAACTCCACTCTCACCTATGCATGAAGCGACTGGTGTTGGTGTCTCACCTCTGATTCCCCACAGCTCACCTATGCATGGAGCGGCTGGTATGTCTCCACTGCAGCCCGATGACCGGGGAACCCCCAGTACCTCACCTATGCATGAAGCGGCTGGTGTGTCTCCACTGCAGGCCGGTGACCGGCAGCGGGTGGGCCAGGTAGATGAAGTCGTACGTCACCGCTTCCCAGTCGGCCCAGCTGGACGCCGAGCGGTGCGACAGGTGCGCTGAAAACGAGAATAAGGACAGCTCATAGCCTCAGAGAGTGGCCGGAGGGAGAGGGATACGGCGAGGGTTGGTGAAACCGTAGGCAATGGCTAATGCAATATAGGGCGATAGCTAATGGAAATGAAGGTTAGAGTACTGGAGCAGTGACTCGTATCGGGCACGTACTGAGGACAAGGGTCCACGGCCGGCGAAACTGAAGTTTTTTTTTTAGAGTTCAAGCGATGTAACTTCGGATATTTATATGGGCTATGCTTGCAGGTTCATCAAAAATCATGCTCAACACTGCTGCAAACTGGTCCGGCCAAACCATCTCGTGGTTTCCAGTAAATATCGGAGGACAGAAGGCTCTCTCCCGTCCTCCTCCTCCCCCGGTCTCCAGTGGCGGGACATGGTCCGATGCGCGATTATCTAGAGACAACTCAGCTTGCGATACTCTGCTAAACACAATGTACAGCCTGTGTGTGTCACAACTGCTGGTAGATCGAACGAACCTAGAGTCGGGATAAAATGAGTGGAATGGCAGTGGGCGAGAACCAATGGTGCAAAAGAAATGGACGTAATGAAGTGTCACGGATGCCACTATGCCTTTGAGTGTATCATGTTGAGTGTCACTGCCTAACGTTGAGTGCCCAAAACTGCGTGAGGTTCGGTGCTGGAACAGACGCAGCGGCGGCGGGCGTGGTCAAGGGGAGGACTGGAAGCAACGCTCGCGGGTGGAGCCGCATTGTTTCGGCAGTGCGTGGATGTTGATGATGTGCAATGCCGTGAACGGAGACTTGATGCTGTCAGTCTTACCACAGCCGGATGAGGGCAAGCTTGCGCTTAGCGTTGAATGTGACGATGAGTGACAGCGCTGCAATCATTTTGCGAAAGCGATCGTGTTCCTCGGATGCCTCAGATATCTGTCCCGAGCGAGGCGGTGGAGTGTTTTCGTGGAGTTGACAAAACGGCGGATGGAAGCGAGTACTTCCTGTTACACGAACGTAGTAAAGTCATTTGTATATTAGGTCTGGGGAGTGCGAAAGCATAACACAGCTGCGTGGCGTGTTTGGGAAAACTGAAAAGCTGTAAACAAGCCTGAGCCGCACGGTCACACGGGTAATAATTCCATTGCCGCGGGCCGGTCACTTTATGGCACGCAGCTGCGCTTTTATTTTTGACCGCCAAGTGGGCGTTCGGCCCGGGGCGGAGCCAAGCAGTCACGATTGTGATACGGCTATGCAGAGACTGAATACAACGAACGATACACAGCTGGCTTTTGCTTTCACAACAACCAGTGTGCCATCCAAAACAAGTCCGTTTCTTAACCCGCGCACCGACGGGGGTCTGCGCCAACTTCGCACCGACGGGGGGGGGGCGGATGACCGCCCCCCCCCTGAGATCCCGAGAACGAAGCAAGATAGCGACAAGCGGTAAACGGCATCGGATACGCACGGCCAAGATCTACAATTTTATTAAGGTCATTTTCAGGTCAGGTCAAAGATGACGTCACAGGGGTCGAAAAAGTCAAAATGGCGGCGCTAGATATGGAGAGTTTTTCTCGAATAACTTTCGAATTAGTCAAGATAGGAACAAACTAAGGGCATCATCGTGATCCTCTCGTCAATCCGCATCGAATGATATATATGTTGACCTCGAAAGGTCAAGGTCAAAGGTTGACCTCAGGTCACGTGACCTCGAGGTCATCATGTATATCATTCGATGCGTCTTGACGAGCTGAACACAATGAGACCATCCACGCGTCTGTATCTTGTTCCTGTACGGAGTTATTGGCCAAAAACCTTTGGTGACCTTTGATGACGTCACATGACCTCAAAGCTGCCCAACAGCAAAACAGACCTCAAGATAGTGAAGGTTGATCGTATATGAAGTCATGTATGGTATATGGGGCCATTCCGACCCGTTTTAGTGGTAAAAACAGGGAGTTGATTTTTCCCCCATTGACTTATAATGGGGAGGTCGCGAAATTGACCTGACCTTAGGTCACCGATATCAAAATTCCGAGATATACAAATTGTAGCTACTAATGACCTAATAATATCCTGCGACTTTCAAAGGCCTCCGACATCTACTGTAGCTCTGGCACGGTGACAAAGTTGCAAAAAAGTGACTTGAGGTTGGGTCATTCAATGTGACCTGGTGACCTGACCTTAAAAGGTAGGAGGTTCAAACTTGCACACCATGTGTAAAATTGATGAGGTTATAGTCATACCGAATACCTCAGGGGGGGGGGGGCGGATATCCGCCCCCCCCGTCGGTGCGCGGGTTAAATCCCACCGCTACACCCTCGCTCAACCCACTTTATCCTCTTTTATCCCCACCTCCCACCTAGCTCCACCCCACGTCCCCACCACCTCCCATCCTCCATCCTCCCTTCCAGACACCCACCTTGTTTCTTCTCGTACCAGACCTTGACGATCTGGTCGCCGAGGCCGGCAGTGGCGAACAGTGTTCCGTCCCGAGAGAAGGCCATGTAGTGGACCGGCTCGGCGGTACGCACCCGCCACAGACACTCCCACACGTGGTCAGATGTGTCTTCGGCATCCTCACCGACGGCGAACTTGACGCGCCGGGCATCGCCTGAGCGGGGCACGAAACGCACAGAATTGTGAATAGCCTGGTCACTCAATGGAGAGGATTCGTATCACATGCATGCAGTATAATTGTGGAAAGTACACAATGGTGTTCAGAATACACTTGACTATATAGTACAATAAAACACTGAATCTTCGGTGAACGAGAGAAGCTCATGCTAACTATATCGAACGCTACAGCAATGAATTTCCAAGGTAATTAACGTAAGACCACAAGTTATTTATTTCCCCTCGCATTGCTGTGCTGGACTCTGGTGCAGGCGACTCACCGGGTTCCTCCTGTTTGGCCTTTTTGATCCACATCTGGAGGAAGTCGCCGCCCGTCAGCAGGTGCGTTCCCTCCAGGTTCCAGGACAGGTTGTGGATGGCACAGTTGGCGCGGATCGTGTCCTGCAGCTCCCAGCGTGCCTGCAGCAGCTGTCCGCAGAATAGACCACAATGTCAGCAACAGCCAGCAGGGTAAGACACTTCCGTCACAGCGACGATTATAAGACAAATTACAAAACGCAAACGGCAGCAGCAGCCCTGCGATAGAAGACAATCTCTAAATATTACCGTGCAAAGAAGATTCACTCTGTCTCTAAACTCACATCCCATTCGCCCCCTCCCATCCCTGCCCCTCACTAAGGATGGTGGAAGTGCAGCCTCCGTTACCTCTCCATCCCCCTTTCCCCCGTCACGTTCACGCTGGTGGGGATGCAGCCTACGTGGCCGACCCCCTCCCATCCCCCGTTACACTCACGCTGGTGGGGATGCAGCCGCCGTGGCCGACCCCCTCCCATCCCCCGCCTCACTCACGCTGGTGGGGATGCAGCCTCCGTGTCCGAAGCCGGCGCGGTACGGCACCGGCGCGAAGATGCACACCCGGTTGCTGTAGGCGGCGGCGATCTTTCCGCAGTCGGCGCTGCAGTCGACGCAGCTGATCTGCACCTGATCATAGTTGACGCCCGGGATGATCTGGACCCGGTCAAAGTTCTGGTCCATGATGACCAGGTCACAGCCGGTGGCGTACACCTGTGGGGAAAGGCACGGGGTGCCGTGAAATGGGCATGTTAGAGGGACGGACTCGAGTCGGAAAAGATATGGGACATGCGGCAGTTCGGAGACGGTGAACGACAGTAACAAGCGGTCTGCAACGAAAAATTACATCTGAGTATCAACTTCACCAGAAAACTTTATGACAAGGGTAGCTTTACATAAAGAATGAGTCAGTTATCAGACAGCAGACAGCAGCATATCACATATCAGACAGCATATCAGATATCAAACAGTATATCAGACACCAGACACTACCACATGACAGTTACCCCGTTGAAAAGAACAACTGTCACCACATGACAGTATCCCACCGTTGAAAAGACCAACTGTCACCAAGTTCATGTTCTCTTGTACTGACCGTGAATGGGACGCCAAACACCGTGCCCACGGCGAAGCAGTCGGTACTGGCATTGCAGGCGCCGGTGAGGATCTGGTGGCAGCGCATCCTGGCTCGATGGGGAGGCGAAGCTCAGCGAGCCTCCCGATGACACAGTCACGGTTTATATCTTAGCTGAGTGAATGCCACATTGACAAATCTGTGGAGAAACAATGCCCAGTTACTGATGCAGTTCTTATATCATATCATAGTGACTTTAGCATACTGACAACTGACAAGAACTAAAACAGAACTAAAATTGTAAGCTGAGGTGTAACGGTGTTGTCTAAATAATCTTCAGGTTAACTTTGCATTGAGGTACCTACCTAAATAAAGGCAGCTGTTGAGCTGTGACCACAAAATATCCTCTGGTTCTCTGCCCAGTGATCCAGGCTCCTAGCTTTCCAATTCACACAAGCTGAAACCTGCAAACCAATTAAACAAATACCCCACACTGGGGATGGTATCCAATTTAATGTTACAGGAACCACAGTAAGCATACATCACAACTGTATTCATCCTTTCAGTCTTTAGTTTCACTAGTTAGGTGCTTCTAGACCTGGCTCAAATATTGATTATTGGGGTCTACTTAGTGCCAGGTCTAGCAGAAACCAAGAAACCAACTTCAAAATGAATTCCCAATACACAAACATGAAGTGGATTTTTTTTTTCTGAACTAAAACCATGTTCAGCTTTATATCAGCCATTGCCAAAAATGTTTATTTTTCAGCACCAAAGGTTCAACAAACACAACTTGTTTTCAGTCACTGCATAGGCATTTTTTAATGGTTTCTTTTGTTTTACAGGTAATCAGAAGCTTTTAGGTAAAATGTAGCCTTCAAATCATGACAGTCTTAAAAAGGTATTGTACAGTTAGTAGTCATGGGTCATGGGGATGAGTGCTACAAATGAGTTATCCAAAAAGCTGAGAAGGTAGGTACCTATTCTTTCTAGATGAATAATGGTGTGGCCAGTCATGATTAGTGGAAAATGACAGGTACAGTCAGTCTTAAAAGTACCCCACCACAGTGCGGTGGATCCATCAAGCCTGACCAAGGAAAGGCCTGCTATGCTATAATTTAAAAGTCACCGAACCAATTGACCTGAGGAATGGACAAGGATATCAATCGCTTCAGTGACTCAAATTTAGCAGTCCTTCCACGGTTGGGCTTGATGGATCCCCTGCACTGTTGCACGGTACTTTTAAGACTGACTACATGCAGCTGAGGAGCCGACTTGACATGGTAACAGGGAGAAGGGACTGATCTGATGATAACATGTATGTCTTCTTTTAATTTCATGGGAAATTCCATGCTAAAAACAAAACAAAACTTAAAACAAATAAATACAATAACATTTGTACCTACCTAGGTACCTACGAGTAAGACGTTCCAAAATCCAAATCCCACGCAATGTGTTTAATCATACCTACCAAGCAGAACCAAGTGTTGGCAATGTTTAGGTGAAAATAAATATAGTTAAAACAAATGAAAAGCAATTTAACATCACTTAAAAATGAATGTTGTACCCTGGGGCCTGGGCCCTGGGCTAGGTATTGATACATGGATCGATTGATTGCCTTCTTTTCAGGATTCGAAATAAGCTAAAGTGTGTAGAAAAACCGGTTATAAACGATCATTGCAGCTACCAAAAATTACCTTAGCAGCGCCAGAGTCACCTAAATCAGTCCCACGCACAAGGGGGAAAAGCTCAAATTATTGAGCACTCAAAATATTGAGCGTGTGACGTCAGAGGCTCCCATAGGCGTAATGCTGAGGGCTCAAAAAATTGAGCCGTTTCAGGAACACGTTTTGCAAAAGCAACTCGCAACACCTAGGGAGAAATGGCAACACCCTAGGAGAATCACTAATGATGCAAAACAGATTAGGCTTTCATATTTTTCACTGCTCAAGCTTCAATGATTGGGGGAACACCAATTTCTAGGTCGAAATCTTACGGCATACCAGGATGCCTTAAAAACAGGCCAATATTTATGTCGAAATAAAAGTTATTTTTTGTCCATTCACGTTTTTTACTAGGGTTCTGTTGGAAAGAGCATTTTTAATACTACCCAAAATGATTGCGACTCAATTTCACATCACCCATATCGGAGAATATTTTTCATTTGGCGGCGCCGTTTGTTTATTTCGTCGCGACGTCTCCGGCCGCGTGGTTGTCGTCGTCCTTGTGTTGAAGGTAAGTTTTTATCGTTTTAGTTATATTTAGATGTTAAAAGGTACACTGAAAAGTTTGAATATGCTGTGATTTTAAATTTGGAAACACGTAAACGTCAATCAATTCACGTTTTCCTCGATTTGCGTGCAGATAAGTAACTGTCGACGAAAGTGGCGCCATCCGATATGATGTTTTGAGGGAAAGAGACACAACATATTTACGTGAAAATGTTTGTTTTTAAGTGGTCTAAGTGCTTCAAAGAGGCTGTGAATGTTTTCTTCACACAATTTTTCATTAGGTATGATGAAGTAGAAGGTAGTTTCAGTCTTAACTTTCATATAATTGACATTAAAACATATGATAGTCCACTGCTATCAGTGATTGAGTACCTTGATATTTGGCATTTCTTATTAATTTGAATGTATTCTCTATCCATATGTCCTGATAGTAAGTGACAATACTCTGCCAATATGTTTCCATAGTTTTCACATTCATTTTCCAGTCCTTTACATAACATCACAATTTATAATCAACAAAACTCAACTCCTTCGTTACTTCACAGTTCACAACACTGACAGCACGACAGACTGACAGTCAACTATTGTGTGTGTGAATGCTGAAACAGGATAGCCACTTTGCTGACTGGCTCATTTGAAATAAGATAAAAATGATCCCTTATATCATTTCCATCTGGAGGATCGGAGTCAACGGAAAAGGAAGGCCACTTTCAAGCCTCAAGGTCTAGGCTGCCAGACGCCAGTTGGCAGTCACCACCAAATTTATAATAGATTAATTCATTATTATACTTTGAGACCCTTAGGTCACTGGTTCGGCATCACATTTTCAGTTTCAATATAGTAAAGGTTTTTATTTGTATGATGTGAAATATTTTCCTGAATCAGAATTTAATTAGGTATCCCTAGGTACCTGGTAGAGGTTTCGGATTTAATGCTCATTGTTGGTGTGCAGTCTGGATTTTTTGACAGGTCCAGATAGGGAATCCTGAGCAATTTTATAGTAAAGTGGTCTCCTTAAAATCACCACACATTTTATCAAAAGCATTTGTAGAATTCATTCAAGGAAGAATTTTATCAATGTTGCACCCATTTCTTAGACGACCCAGGCTGCATCTTTTTTTAGTTCCTGTTGTATGACATATTTTCCATTTTGTTCCACTGCATAAAGAAAAAAAATCGTTTGAGATCACCAAACAGCTTTTCTTTTTCTGGCAGGTCTGCACAACCAAGCGGTCGCTGGCGAGGACGTCGGCCGTCCCTGTGGGTAAGGTCATCTGCTCAGCCTTTGTGGAGATCAGCAAGACGTCACCAAGATGAAGACTTCGCTGGAGCGGAAGCCGCTGACCCGTGTCCGATCGGGCAGGTCATGCTCGACGGCACGAGCCACAACTTGGACGACTCGGTGACATCAACAACATGGTGGAGCAGGTGAATGAGTTTGGCGACGTGTTGTGCGACTGCAAGAAGGGTTGTCTGCGTGTTCTGGCCGGCGGAGCGGCGACGCTGCGCAGTCCGTGCTGGTGGTGAGCAGCTGGCCGTGGTGACCGCGCGCGCCCACATGCGCCGACAACCTGTGCGGCTTCGACGGCCCCGGGACAGCCCGATGCCGCCCACTATGCGACGCCGACCGCGCACTGTCCGCACGGCCACATGGAGGTGTGCCCGCGCCTTTTGCCCGCACGCCGCTACCTCGCAGCTGGTCTGCAACCACGCCGTCGCCGCCTGTAGCCCGATAACAAAACGGCTGTCTGATAATGCCGCGTGTTCTTTGTGATGTTGCTACTGTGATGGTTGCTACTGCTGGTCCGAGACTCGATGTTTCCATTCGTCTTTTACATGTTAAGGATTTGATAATGATAAGCTTAGTCCGAGCTTAGGTCGTTTATGTCATTTGTTATATGGCATATTTTGGATCAAAGCAGTACGACACTGCCTCCTGCTTTTGTGATGTATGCTGGCAAGACGCAGGTTCCGGTCGCAGGTCACCCGGTTCCAATGTGGTCGGGCTGGCATGCGATAATGTGATGTTGTTTTGCTCGTCTCTGTGTTCCACACTTGATGATGTTTGTGAATCTAACCCACATTGTATAGTATTTTTGTTTGTTTGCGGCCGATGGCCTTGTAAGTTGTAACCGTGGCAATACAGTTTTTCCTGTATAATTCTCCAATATTCAAGCGTGGGTGGATATCTTTCTGTAATCACGTATTCCCTTCTCCCAGTACAGTCAGAAAATATCAATACAGTATTCATACGGATTATTCAAGCCCTGTATAATTATTTGAGGTGTGCCGAATCCGAAAGGCGACCGATAAAACTACTAGCGGAAAATGTGACATGATGCCATGGGTTTGTGAAAAGTTTAGGTACCACGTAGCATTCAACTTCCTGCATTTCTGTTTCAACTCAGTTTAACGTATTTCAACGAACATAACATCAAAAATGGCAGCCAGTACCGGCTTCACCTGTCACGGAGAAGGCTCAATAAATTGAGTGTAGATGTTGGCCGGCACTCAATTTTTTGAGCGCCAGCTGACTGTCGTCTGTCGTGGCGCTCAATTTATTGAGTATCGCGGTCCCGAACGACAAGTGGCGCTCAAAAAGTTGAGCGTCTTTAGGGCATTTTCTTTCCAAAAACACCGATATAAATTATCACGGCGAGTGTTCGAGAAGAAACCTTGTTGCTCTCTCTTGCCATTGATACCTTATTTGGATACGATATTTGCCGTAGTGTGACGCTAGAGGCATTGTAAAATACCATCGTTTCGCCTATTCCTTCATAATGGGGCCCGCTCAATTTTTTGAGCGCTCAATAATTTGAGCTTTTCCCCCTTGTGCGTGGGACTGAAATGCAATTCACATGCCCACATCTATTCCAACAAAAATTAGAAAACAAACAAGTCCTTGGGACGTTCGTATAATTGCATGCAGATTGATATCAATCTCGTACATGCAGATTCCGGACCCTTTCAAATCGCCTCAGAATCGGCATGTAGACCAAACAGGACACGCTGATCACGAATCCGAAGTCCGTTCCGCGGCACATATGAAACTTTTCCCGTAATTGACGAATTACGGATCTGCATGCAGATTCCGGACCCTTTCAAATCGCCTCAAAATCGGCATGTAGACCAAACAGGACACGCTGATCACGAATCCGAAGTCCGTTCCGCGGCACATCTGAAACTTTTCCCGTAATTGACAAATTACGGATCTGCATGCAGATTCCGGACCCTTTCAAATCGCCTCAAAATCGGCATGTAGACCAAACAGGACACGCTGATCACGAATCCGAAGTCCGTTCCGCGGCACATATGAAACTTTTCCCGTAATTGACGAATTACGGATCTGCATGCAGATTCCGGACTCTTTCAAATCGCCTCAAAATCGGCATGTAGACCAAACAGGACACGCTGATCACGAATCCGAAGTCCGTTCCGCGGCACATATGAAACTTTTCCCGTAATTGACGAATTACGGATCTGCATGCAGATTCCGGACCCTTTCAAATCGCCTCAAAATCGGCATGTAGACCAAACAGGACACGATGATCACGAATCCGAAGTCCGTTCCGCGGCACATATGAAACTTTTCCCGTAATTGACGAATTACGGATCTGCATGCAGATTCCGGACCCTTTCAAATCGCCTCAAAATCGACATGTAGACCAAACAGGACACGATGATCACGAATCCGAAGTCCGTTCCGCGGCACATATGAAACTTTTCCCGTAATTGACGAATTACGGATCTGCATTCAGATTCCGGACCCTTTCAAATCGCCTCAAAATCGGCATGTAGACCAAACAGGACACGATGATCACGAATCCGAAGTCCGTTCCGCGGCACATATGAAACTTTTCCCGTAATTGACGAATTACGGATCTGCATGCAGATTCCGGACCCTTTCAAATCGCCTCAAAATCGGCATGTAGACCAAACAGGACACGCTGATCACGAATCCGAAGTCCGTTCCGCGGCACATATGAAACTTTTCCCGTAATTGACGAATTACGGATCTGCATGCAGATTCCGGACCCTTTCAAATCGCCTCAAAATCGGCATGTAGACCAAACAGGACACGCTGATCACGAATCCGAAGTCCGTTCCGCGGCACATATGAAACTTTTCCCGTAATTGACGAATTACGGATCTGCATGCAGATTCCGGACCCTTTCAAATCGCCTCAAAATCGGCATGTAGACCAAACAGGACACGATGATCACGAATCCAAAGTCCGTTCCGCGGCACATATGAAACTTTTCCCGTAATTGACGAATTACGGATCTGCATGCAGATTCCGGACCCTTTCAAATCGCCTCAAAATCGGCATGTAGACCAAACAGGACAGGCTGATCACGAATCCGAAGTCCGTTCCGCGGCACATATGAAACTTTTCCCGTAATTGACGAATTACGGATCGGCATGCAGATTCCGGACCCTTTCAAATCGCCTCAAAATCGGCATGTAGACCAAACAGGACACGCTGATCACG